AACCGTTTGGATGTGGTGCTCAGGGCCGTGATTCAGTGGAGGGCTGTTAGAGTTGGGGTAGGATGGTTGGGTTGTGTTGGACTCGATGATCCTGAAGGTCTTTTCCAACCTGAGCAATTCCATGACTCTGTGCTGTTCCTGTCTGAAGGCCCAGGGCAGCCTGAGGTGCGCCGGTGTTTGGAATTCAGGCTGTGTTTCTATTATTTCTCAGCAGCCTTTATCTGTTGTAATCCGCTTAGCTGCCGACTGCAGAGAGTTGTTTTTGAAAGAGCTGCGGGCCCACAGCCAGCAGCATGGAAATTCCCCAGCGCGTTGTTTTCTCAGTTTAGCTTCTGCTTTCACAATTTTTCCTTTGCCCTATCAACGTTCTCTGTGTGCTTTTTGTTTCTTTGGGGGGTTGATACCGCTGGAGTTGTGGTGGCAATCATTGCCTCTCCCTTTTCTCGGGATTTACCTCTTCGTGCCATGCAGGCCCCATACACGGAGCGAGAAGCTGAGGCAGCTCCACACTATGAAAACAACCAAAGCAGGAGAGAGCAGTGAAAGTAAATGCTGCTGCTTGACGGTGTATGAATAGTGCGGATATTAATAATATTTGTGCAGCTTAACGGGCTCTGAAAACCCAGCACAGCGTGGAATGCATGCGGAGGACGAATGGAGCGTTGTTACTCAGTGTTCAAACATGCATCACAGTTTTAAAATGGCTTTTGTTTTCACCTTAGGGTATTTCATCTTCAGAAACTGAAGACGCACTTCAGTCAGCGTTGTGTGAAAGAGGGAGCTGTCGTTGGTGGTTCAGTCAGACTCGATTTTCAGCAGGCTGGGAGAAGCAGCACAGGGGTTAGGGGCTGTTAGGCTGCAGGCTCTGCGCTGCTGAGCTGGGCGGGCTGAGCAGGGCAGGGAAGCACCGCATGCAGGTACCCAGCTGTCAGGGGCTGCCTGCTGCCACGCGGGTCAGGCTGCCTTTGGACGGGCACGTCGTTGTGCTGTAGTGCACAGAGGTGCTTTGGGTTCTGCTCGCCAAGTGGGCTGATGGATTGTAAGTCATTCTGTAGAACAAATCTGATTACTCCAATTATTACAGTTGGTGCTCCTGCAAAGCTAAGTCTATATAAATAAGTAAATAAATAAATAAGTCCTGACTGCACAAGGCTGAAAAACAAAGAGGAAAAACAAGATTACGGTGAATTAGTGCAGGTCAGCTCCCTTGTTTCACCAGTGTGGAAAGCAGGTACATGTGGTGGGTAAAAATAAATTGCCCGCTGGCTGAGGGAAGCAGGGCAGCCTGTGTTCTTTGCCCGGCTGCTTTCTGCTCATCCCTTGCTGCTCACCTCTGCTCCCATCCCTGCCACACACACCTCCAACCTGGGCTGGTCGTCTGCTGGTGCTGGTTTGAGCATTGTGGAGAAGCTTGGGGTTGGCAGCATGTGGGGGAGCTGCCGTGGTGGGCACAGATCCTTAGGGAACTGCACTGTGGTAGTTCTGTGATGGTTGTGTACAGTAACAAGTTTGAAATCAGTACCACCTGGTTTGGAAAAATTCAACATTTCAAGTGAAGTAAATGAGTGAGTGGCATCCTATTGTACAAGAGATGTAAAAATGAAACTACTGAAGGAGGCTGAACATCTTTAACCTTCACATGTCTTATATACTTCTGTTGCAGGTGCTAGAAACATTTGCTGGCCGCCTGATCAAAATGGGGGTTTTAGCAAGGCGGGACATTCCCAGCCTCACCAAGTACCAGATAATTCTAGCAAGAGATCAGTACAGAAAAAACCCTTCTCCACAAAACGTGGTAAGTGTCATCATTTATTTCGTGTTATTAAACACAAAAGTTAAACAGATTAGTTAAACATTTACTACATTAAAGTAGTAAATAAAAAGCAACACTTCAGAGTTTATGAGGTTTTTTGGTGTATTTAGATTTCCAAAGTAACATTCTGTTTTTAGCTTTGGAATAAAACAGGCCTACTGGTTCCACTGTTCTTGATTCTATTATGGGAGAGTTAAAAAGAGAGGAACTGCTTTTCCGAATTGGGATTGTTTTGAGAAATTGTGTTGTAGTTCATGATGACCAAAGTTGCACTTTCCCCTCGAAATGACATTACTGCACCTCTTTTCTGTCAGTTGTCATGGAGTGCCCAAGTCCTGTAAGCTGCCTGCTGGAGGTTTGGGCAGGCAGGCGCTGTGCATCGCTTTGTTCTTTGGCTCTGTTGCTCAGATGCTCATCTCGTATTTGTTACAAGAATGGCAGTACGATTCCTGCTGTTTATCATCTCCCTAATTTAATGATGAGTCGGTTTTATTTTCACAGGGGATGCAGCAAGGCATAATTGAAGGAGATTTTGCGCTCTGTATCAGTTTATATCATGGTTATGAGCTGCTGCAGCAAATGGGAGTGCGATCGTTATTCATCTACCTTTGTGGAATTATGGATGGATCAAAAGGTGAACTGCCTTCAGAAGCATCCTTCCTTTTTTCCCCACTGCTCATCAATTAATTTACCTCATCTGTCTTGCTAGCTTTGTACAAATCAATTAATATAATGAGTGGGTTGCTGGTCTAATTGGTGTTTGTTTTTCCTTTGACCCCATAGGAATTGCACTAAGTCAGTGTTACAGATGGAGTATCTTGGGAAAGCATGTGCATGTATGGCAGTGATTTTGAAAAAAAATAAGGCACAAAAAACAAACCAAGAGGCAGTAATACCTAAGGACAGACAGAGATAAAGTGCTAAACAATTTAAACCAAAATTGCTTGGTAAAGCAATTCCCCCAGTATTGAGCTCCCACTGTAGCAGAATATTTAAAGTGTATGCATGATTCAAGCACCTTTGCCAGAAGATTATAAATGTGGGTACATCGTGCTAGAATTTCTATCCCAACTGTGCAGGGTCTCACAAAGGGAGATATGGAGCTGCAGCTGGTTTGGTACTGACATCTTTGCTGAGGGGAGAAATTTCTACTTGGCAGCGTCAAACTGCAGTTTGTGTCAGGGAGGGGTGGTTTCAGCCGTGCAGAATGCCCTGGGATGAGGCTCTGTGGTCTCTTGCTTCGTTCTGATTTGCACGTGTGTCATCTGGCCGTGTAACTTGGGATAGCTTAGGCAGCACTTTGCCCAAAGCACTGCTTAATTAAAACGGCACTGCTTTGTCCTGACCCAAAGGTGTACAGTGCACATCACATACCATAGAATGTCTGTGGAATGTGTATTTATGGTATGTGTGTGCTGATATATTTTCTCGTGAATTTTATGCTTCTGACCTTTTTACAGTTGATTTCAGATTGTTGTTCTCTGATGCTCTTGTTAGTGCTGGGGAGCATTTCATGTGCTTCCTCGATTCTCAGACCCCTTAAATTCACGTCTGCTGTTAAAAGGTGACAGAGGGAAAATATTTTTAGTAACTGTTTTTTTTTGTTCTGGATTTGCTTTCTGATTTGAATAGAACAAAACTCTTTTCTGCACTGTCAGAAAGGCATTCCAGAAATTTATTGGTTTGTCAGTTTGAGCTTTTAAACTAGGTTTCTTTATTGTCAATTGGTTAAAAAAGTAACCCCAGCATTTCTGGATGCCTTTCCTCCTGCTGAATGGTTGAGGTAGGAGCTTTCAGTTTACCCAGGGACCCCAGCCTTCTGTTCCTGCAAACAGTTTTCATCTTTCAATTCTCCAGTGGCATTTTCCCTGAGAAAATACCGACTCTAAACAATGTTTGTTGTATTTCCTAAGCTAACTTATGCCATTTAGCTCTTGAAAGGAGTCCACTGCTTTGGAGAAGTTTATCTTTTGGACTGCAAAAGTGGGATTCGCTCTGGAGTCTGAATGCTGAGGTGTTCTAACCTCTTTTACACAGGATTAACTCGTACAAAGAATGAACTTGGTCGCAATGAGGACTTCATGAGGCTGTACCAGCAGCTGACAGACATGTTTTCAGACGTGTGTCAGGCTTCAGCAAGTGGAAATCTTCACAAGAGTAGAACAGGTTGGTGTTTCCCCTTTAGGGACAGGATATTTACTTTCTGCTTAACAGAAACACTCAGTATTTCTGCACCGTTTGTAGATGCAGGAAGCTGTGCATTTTGATACACCTGGCTTTAGTGTTCTTTATTTGACTCCTCATGGTGTTTCCCATCTCTCAGTGGGTTTAGCTACCTTTTCATGAGTTCTGTGTGTTTTAAGTTTTTAATTTGATTTGAAATGAAAGGTTGAAATATTATTGTTTGACTGTGTACGTTTTACAGTGTGACTGTGACATGATAACAGCATGCCTTAAAAAACTGGATTTAACAAACATGCTTCTGTAAATAGTTCACTTCAGTTTTTGTTTAGGTGAATGCAGTGAGTGTAGGCATCAGGAATCTGTATGCCTGACTTGGGGGTTGGAGCTTGATGATCTTTGAGATCCCTTCCAACCCAAACCATTCTATGATTCTATGATGCTGGGGAACAGTAGCAGGAGAAAATGAACTTCACTGAATCTTTATAATTGTGGCAGCTTCATTTGTATCTCTAATTGCTTTGTGTCTTTTTTCAGTTTCTGAAAATAAAAAGGAATTTATTTACAGTCATCCAAAATTAAAGAAATTGGAGGAAATAGTAATAGAGCACTTCAAGTCCCAGAAGATGGGATGTTCTGGTAAGTACTGACAGCTCAAAGAACAAGGAGTGAACAGTTGGAGCTGTTGACAAAAATGAAGAGAAGAGCTGACTGATTTCATTTGTTCAGGTATTTCTTGTAGGCAGGGTGTTCTGGTGGATATATACTAAGTAAATTAATTGGCTACAGTATTGAGCTCTAGATTGTGTTTCAATGCAAATTACCTGGTCTGTTGATGGATATTCATAAGAACTCTAATTGAGCATTGAAATGCAGTTGAAGCTCTTGAAGGGAGTCAGCTTTGACCTTGTCACAGTAGGAAAGATGCTGTTGTTGTCTTGCTGCTGAGACTTGTGCTCTGGAAGGTACCCCTGTGTGTTTTAAAATAAAGTATTAAAAAGGGCAGTGTCTAGAAGGCACATTTTGTCTCTCTGTAGCATTAAGAATATGCTTTTGCTTAAAGGCACCTTGCTAAGAAACCCAATACAGGTGCAGGTCTTTCTGCCTTTGCTTTGAAGCAGTGCTTATCTTTGCCACTGAGCTGGGAGATACAACTGATTGTGATGGCAGAACATTCAGAAGCAACAGAGTAAGAGAGCAAGGGAAGGTTTTGAACCTTTCTGCTGTCATGGGGCTCCTATGCTGTAGAGGCAGATGTGGCTTGGGGCACAGAAAGCTGTTACACATCCCTTGCACTGCACCATGCTGTGCTGGACTAGTGCTGTGCTGCTGTTCATTGCTATGCCCAGCTGACTTTGTTTTGCTCTAGACACTTCAGTGACATCTCAAAGTCATGTTGTACGCTCCTCGAAAGAAGGCATCTTTCATGTTATTTCAAGATACTTGCCACCAAACTTGAGCCTTTCAAAACAGCATTAATAACACTACCTCAGACATACGCCATGCTCACTATAGTTGGTGCAAATTCTCCAAAATTTGATTGCTGCTTCGATTCCAGAGAGGAATTGTTTGAGGAGGTGCATCTAGGAGCATTTTCTGGGAATTTAAGGTTAGCCTAAGTAGGCTGAAGGGCTCATAATTAACAGTTTTCTCCACTGTTGGTTTTTTTTTTTTTTTTTTTTAGTTAATTTAACTGGGTTTTTTTGGTTGTTGTTGTTGTTTTTAGTTATTTTAAAAAGTATTTTGTTGAAAGAAAATTTCTTTGAGAAATCAAAATGCCGTATAGGTGAAGTGTATCTTCTAATTGTTGAATCAGATGAGAGCTGTGAGTGTGTAACTTGTGAGATGTCCCCTGTTTTTGGGGGGGATCATTGGTTTTGTATTATTCATGGAAGTATATTTCTGTCTTTTTTTCATTAAACAGATCAAACCACGTCCGGAAGCACATCTGTGGACACCAGGGTGATGATCTTCTCATCATTTCGGGATAGTGTGCAAGAAATTGCAGAAATGCTGTCCCGGTTCAGCCCAGTTGTTAGAGTGATGACTTTTGTTGGGCACTCCACAGGAAAGAGCACAAAGGGCTTCACCCAAAAGGAGCAGCTTGAGGTAAACAGCTGAAACTTGCAGTTGGAAGTATTTATAAGGAATATTAATTGTGTAAATGAAGATATGATTATTAATACAGATTGCGTGGTGATGACTGAGATTTCAGGTGTCATTGGTAAATTCCTAGGTGGTTCAATTGCTGTCAGATTATCCAAAACTGTACTCACTAAACAGAATGTAAATAGCTGTTTACAAGGTGGATGGTGATAGGACAAGGGGGAATG